TCTAATCCCTTAAATCTATTCATCATCTCCACAGTATAATCATAAGGGATTTGATGTAGGTCATACCAGAATGGCCTCGTGAGTTTTCCTTACTTTCTTCAATTTAAGCCTGAATTTATCAAATGTCCTTTACCAAATGACTACACTACAACTACATTGGATCAAGACACAGTGAGGTGCTTGACATATTTTCTTGTAAAGAATGCAACATCTCAGAGAGCTATGAGGCTCTGGGAGGTTAAGTTAGAGAATCACAAAGCTATAAAGAGCTGAGATGAGATCTGGCTCCAGTTCTATAGGACACTAAAGCCTCTGTGCTTCCCTCTGTAAATGCTTCTTATTTTAAGGGTTGGAATAAAGAGAGAGTGTTTGGAGAGAATCTCAGGGCATAGCAGGGTTTGGAAGTTGTTTCTGAAGCAGTAGAGGCTTGGATACAAACTTCTGGTCATATGAGCTTCTCAGAAGGCATTACTCAGGCCGAGCTCCTGCCCAGAGTAAGTGGGATTCCACTCACTGTGCTCCCCATTAGTATAACCCAGCAGGTGGCATCCACCTAGAGACTGTCCAAAAAGCTGGGAGAAGAGTACTGGGCCAGGGGTGGAGACCTGGATTCTGGGTGCTGTCGTGTAGCTGAATTATCTCACACAAATCATGAATCCTCAGTTCCTACATCAGTAAGATCAAGGTGACACTGGTCTGCCCAGTCTGTCTCTTGGGGTTATATTAGACGAGTCATATGTAGAAAGCCAGGTCTTGAAAGTCGTAAAGAACAATATTTTGTTTTCAGATAAAACAGTCATTTATTTATCCAGGTCGACATTTGGCAATGTTGGAGGTAGAGATACAATGGTAAACAAAATCAATAAAAGTCCTGTCCTCATTAAGTTATGATTATCTTATTGTGAGATTTAGCCTGGTGTAAGTTACGAACCAGTGTTTTAAAGGCCGAGGTAAGGAAGAACAGGACACTAACAGAGACGTCCAGTCTATTCCCAGAAGCGGTTGACTCGGCAGTAAATGATAGTGGACACTCATAGGCAAAGGAGAAGAAAGGAGGTAGGAAAAGCAGAGACCTGGGGCAGAGAGTCTGTGGTAAAATGTAAGAGCATATTATTGTGGGAGTGAATGTTTTAAAACACAAACAGAAAAAGAGGGGAGATTTTCATGTGGCTCTCAAGTCAGCCAGCTAATCTATGGGAATATGGGTCAGAAAGCTGAAGAGGGAAAAGAAATACACACTCCAGTCTGGACAAGCAAACGTTGGAAGACAAAAAAAGAGGGCTGGGGAAGTCCACACCACTTAAAAAGATTCGCCTCCCAGTACTTGCCAAATGTGGTATCTGGAGGGGAACTGTGGCATGTCCCGAGAATTCCAGACACTATTGTAAACAGGGACCTGGGGTGTGGAATGGAGGCTCCGTCTGGAATCTCATGGAGTAGGAACCCAGCCTGGGAAGACAAAAGTTATGCTAGATCTGTGTCACCAAGTCACGAGGAACATATTTCAAAACTAGAAGTTCATCTCCAGGGTGTCTGGTCTCAGGACAGAGCCCAGTGTGCACAAAGACTGAGTTCCAAGTCCACTCTGTGGCTCCCCCAACAAGGGGCTTTCTGCTACCCAGAAATGCTGTGAGTGGCTTGTCTAAGGTGTCGCTGGAGTAGCAGAGTCAGGCAGTGACCAAGAACCTGTGACTCTTTGATACCCTGATGAACCACTCGGTCATGTCTGACTCTTTGCGGCCCCATGGACAGTAACCCTCCAGGCTCCTCTGTCCAGGGAATTATGCAGGCAGGAATACTGGAGGGGGTAGCCATGCCCTCCTCCAGGGAATCTTCATGACCCAGGGATCGAACCCGAGTCTCCTGCATTACAGGCAGACTCTAACACTGAACCACCAGGGGAGCCCTGATAAACCCAAAAAGGGAAATCTAAATTTTGATTCTGGGCCTTAAAATGTTTCTTACTGCAAAGATGATTTCACCTCTTATGCTTCAGGAAGACTCAAGTAGATTCTTTCACTCATTGGGGAGCTCGTGGGCTCTTAGGAGACTGCCAAAGCTACTACTTTTTTTTTTTGCTTCATATCATATATGGTCAGTTAACCACTGGGAAAAGTGAGTCAGATAATGATATATTTGTGCTCCGTGTGCCAAAAACTCCAGTAGTAGATATCTTGGGAGCTAGGAAGCCCACATTTCTGAAGAAAATCCGAGGCTATACATATAGAGCAAAAGCATAAGTAGAGATGGAGAAGCTTAACTAGAGAAATGTTTCAGGAGAAAGGGACTCTTTGGACACCTCTCCCCTCCTGTCCCCTTCCTCCCCCTCCTCCCCTTGTCTTTTCTGTGGGAGCTGAACGATGTGACCGTTTTATTTGTCATCCCCTTTTGAGGGTGAGAAGGGGGATTATGCCAGGGCATAGGCATAAATGGGATGAGGGTTCACTGTGTCTTAGCTTCCTAAGTTCCGTGAGGACTGCACTGATGCGCTCACCCCCATCTGTGGCATGTACCCTTCTCTATGTTCCTACTCCACCATGTCAGTGTCTCCGCTAGAGTGGGTGCCGGGCCGCACCGCGTCAGTGTCCCCGCTGGAGTGGGTGCCGGGCCGCACCGCGTCAGTGTCCCCGCTGGAGTGGGTGCCGGGCCGCACCGCGTCAGTGTCCCCGCTGGAGTGGGTGCCGGGCCGCACCGCGTCAGTGTCCCCGCTGGAGTGGGTGCCGGGCCGCACCGCGTCAGTGTCCCCGCTGGAGTGGGTGCCGGGCCGCACCGCGTCAGTGTCCCCGCTGGAGTGGGTGCCGGGCCGCACCGCGTCAGTGTCCCCGCTGGAGTGGGTGCCAGGCCGCACCGCGTCAGTGTCCCCGCTGGAGTGGGTGCCGGGCCGCATCTCGTCAGTGTCTCCGCTAGAGCGGGTGCCGGGCCGCACCGCGTCAGTGCCTCCGCTAGAGTGGGTGCCGGGCCGCACCGCGTCAGTGCCTCTGCTAGAGTGGGTGCCGGGCTGCATTTCAGTTATTAACGCCAGGTTTCTGTCTCCCACTGAACTGTGAGCTTCTTGAGGCTTGCAGTCTTGTCTGGAGAATCCCATGGACAGAGGAGCCTGGTGGGCTTCAGTCCATGGGGTCACACAGAGTTGGACACGACTGAATGACTTAGCAGGCACACACGATTTATCTCTATTCCATAACACAAGATCTGACACACATGTTTGACAAGGGAGGATATACTGACAACACGTTTGAAGGGAGACAAGTGACAGGATTGGTGGAAAAGTTATTCCCAGTGGAAAGAAAAGGCGTCACATATATCATAGCACAGGGTTGCTGACAGTGATTACGGGCAGTCCTGCAAATCAGTCAGCCTTCATGGAATGGAGGGATGACAAGAAGTAAGGAGGACCCAGAGTTGGTGGAGTCTACAGATTGTCCAAGACTGCTGACTGATGGCTGCTCTAAAGAGGGGTGGTGCGTGAAGGAACACAGTTGCTGTTTTGCTGTCCTCCTTAATGGGATAGACTGGATAATCCACCAGGTTTGCATTTGAGCTTGGAGGAATGTGTTGGATAAGCATGAAAACTTGAATGATAAAAAGAGAATAGCTTCTCAAAGAATCTTGATACTTCTGCTTCCAGCTGAAACCAGGAAATTCAGAGGCAGCAAAAATGAAATCAAGGAAAACGTTAATGGAAATTTTGAACCTAGAAAAGGTTTGGTTTGAGTTTTGAAGGACAGTCTGACCTGGTTAATCACTGCTCCCAAGTACTACTGTTACGATTTGCAGGCTTTTTATGTGTTTGTTATATATTTCATTTATATAATATTTAGCCTATTGTTTTCTAATTCTTAGGGGTGGGTCCCTAAATTCGGCAGTTTAACCAAGGCTTCTATATTTACTGCAACGCTGACGAAGCCCAACTACCCAGAACAGGCTTGTGCTGTAACAGTGTGGGCTGTTTTGCCTCAAATCAGCAGTTCTACTTGGGAGGGTCATGCAAAGTAATCTACAGAGTTTTCTCTGTTACTTGCGTAGAATGGTAATACTTTAATTAAAGCAACATGTATACATAATTTAATAAGTGGTTGCCAGAAATTATTTTCTCTAATAGAAATCATAGCAAATTTTTTTTTTTGGTCATCACTTAGGGAACTGTGAACTGCCGAAGCTTAGGTCGCTAACTATTTCGATCTGTAGGACCTTAATTTCTAAGAGTCCATGGCAGTTCTGACTTTGGCCTATCTAAAATGGGCAGATCAAGCTTGAGGCATTTATTGTGGGTGTGGAATGAAGGTTTGCCCACTCACATCCCCTCTTTTCTTAGAAGATGAAGGTTTCAAACCTTTATTTCTTCCTAAGAGGAATCTACATTCTGGGGTCTTAACTGAGTTCTTTGCTAACTGCCAACCTTCCTTTTGTATTCAAAGGACCCTCTTGAATGCCACTTATTTTATCTATACATGTTCCTTTAAGTTCTTACCTAAAGGGTTTTCCTACGTGTCACAAAGCTACTTACTTTAAACGCTCATTACTGCTCACTTTTTATGCTGAAATAATGCGTATTTGAGTTGCAGTTTACAAATAATGATCAAAGAGTGCCTTTCTCTTAATTAAATCGTTGGTTAATTTGATGAGCCTTTCAGGGTCAAAGGATTTAATTCTATAAAAATCCAACTGTCTTGACTTCCCATTCAGCTGAATCATTTCACAGTTTACTATGTTTCTTTCCCATGTGGATCAAAATTCTTTACAACTGGAAAATAATTATTAAAATAAATATGGCATTTGCATTACAGTTTTGATGACTGGAAGCCTTGACCCATGCTTAGGTGATCAAATAAACCACCAAAGAGTTAGGAACACTAACCTGATTAAATTAAGGAGAAGGAACTACATTATTAATAAGTAAGCAAGCAAATGTTGGACAACTTGACTCTCTTCCAAAGAGTCTTTAACATTTGATGTACATTTTAATCTGTATTTAAGACAGATTATTTTTTCTTTCCTAGAGAGACATCTCCTCTATGGACGGCCTGCTGTGCTCTATCGGACTAGATATGATATCTTATATCACACTGACTTTGAAAGCGGTTATAGTGAAATATTTCTAATGCCACTCTGGACATCATACACTGTTTCCAAACAGGTCATTGAGAAAATTGGGTTTCATGTTCTTCATGTCATTACGCTCCATGCCTTAATAGAATGATTGCTGGCGGAACAGAATTTTTTCTTAGAAAAGACTTAAATTTTTCCTGATGAAAGAAATCCTACATTGGATCTATTGTAAAATATTTTGAATTAGGCTTTCTGCCATGTTCTAATAACTTCACGGTAATATGTGAAATAGCATAGCATACTAATTCTGTTAGTTTCTTTTACTCTGCTTGTCATGGCCCAGTAGTTTCAGAAGCTATCAAGATTTGGCTGTGTGTTTTAATATACTTTATTATTTAGAGCAGTTTTAGGTTCACAGCAAAACTGAATGGAAAGGACAGAGATTTCCCATATATCCATGGCTCCACACATCACAGCCTGACCCCCACTAACATCTTGTTTTGTTTTGTTTTGTTAATGAAGGTTTGTTTTATGTTGGGGTTTCAGTTTTGGTAAAGATGAGATAGTTCAGTTTATATCAGAAATTAGAAAAATTTATTAGGCAGTCGAGATATGTTTCTAATTTCTGAATACAAAAGACTACTTGAATACAAAGGACTACTTCAACTGCCCCAAACATAGCTACTTGTTAATTTGTACTCGGGCACATACAATACATAAAGTTATTTTTTTTAAATAGGAGATATGTCTATATTATTTCTCAGAATATTATTTTTTAAGCTGTCTTCTGTGGAATCTCATTCGTTATGTCAACAGTGAGATTTCTGCCTTCCGTATTATTGTTTAACCCAAGACTGATAAAGAGAGTTCTGCTAGTAGGAAAAAAGAGTTTGAAAATTACTAGCTTAGTGCATTTAAAAGTGAGGTCTTTTTTTTTTTTAAGAGTATATTTTTCTTTTTTGGCCAAGTGGCACAGGGGCTCTTAGTTCCCTGACCAGGTATTGAACCTCACCCCCTGAGTTAGAAGTATGGAGTCTTAGCCACTGGACTGCCAAGGAAGTCCTCTCTTGTTTGTTTATTTTAAAGAGAGACTATCAGAATATGAGCTATAGTAAAAGCTGATGGGGTTTTGATTTTGGCTGTTTGGAACCAAGCAGTCTGGCTTCAGTGTTTCCCCGTTGGTTTGGTACTGTCTCTACCACGGCTTTGCTGACGACTGTGACTCACCATTCAGGCTGAGGTCTCTGGCATCGCTGAACACCTGACCAACTGTGTCCGGCCTGATGTCCGTGTTTCTCCGAGTTTCAGTCAGAGCTGTTTGGCCTACAAAAATGATAAACAGATGTCCTATGGATTCCTCTTTCCTCCTTGTAAGTTACAGAAGACCAGATCTAACCATTCTAGAGGGGTGTTATTCTGTGGAGTCTGGCGTGTGCAACTTGGTATTTAGGATTTCAGTGGTTTTTAGAGGGGTGCTCAAGAGGTTGAGGAGATGAACTTCTCTGGGAGCCTTCCAAAAGCAGCCAGAAAGAGACCAACTTTCACAAATCCTATTCCCAGGGAGTTCTGAAGTGCAAGGGAACATTCACTGTGTCTCCTGACATCCTTACATGAGAATCTAAAAGTGAAATGGGAAATTAATGAGACATTCATCTTTTAAATAATACTATAGAGGTGATGTCCTAAGAATACATGAAGCCCTTTAATTATCTCTCATTACCTTGATGACATTTTTTTAAAGTCCAAATTACACTGGTAAAGTCAAGGAACTCTTTTACATAATACTTAGTAGACCCAAGATTAGGTTGGAAGCAAAAGAACATAAAAATTTTATTTAAGGAGAAGGATTGAGTGAAGAAGAGGTGGAGTGGGAAGAGAAGTAGTCAGTGGCATATAGAGGGGATAAGTGGGAATGAAAGAGTCGGTCCAGTCACTGCATGCCGTTTGGGTCATTTTAAAGATTGCTTTTTTTATTGATGTCGATTTTAGTGTGTAATAGACACTATTTGTTTTCCTAATGTTTAGATCTGAGCTCGTCCCCAGAAGCTAAATATGATGCATTCCTTGTAACCAATATGGTTCCAATGTATCCTGCTTTTAAACGTAAGTCCAATATTTACCTAGTAGATTATTATTTGTGGAAAGAAATGTTTCTAAATTTATCACTTACCTTTGCTACCTCTAGATTCATTTTAATAATAATAATAATGCTTTTCATGTGTTTAGCCTTTATAATTTTCAACAACCTTTAATGTAATGTAATTCTCTACTGCTAATCCAAATTATGAATCTGTGAGGGAGCTTGGTGATTTTTATTTATCCCTTGTTTATAATTAAGAAATTAAAGTCACAAGAAGTGACTCTGGTCATGAATGGTAGAAGCTCAGCTAAACCAAGTTTGTGCTTCTAATCTGTTGTTCTTCCTATTTCAGTGCTCACTCTATCAGTGGTTTAAAGAGTCTTTGTATTTTGGATGCTACCTAACATTTAACAGCATCTGTATTTATTTACTGAATGTTACAGTAGAAGCCACGAACAGTCCTTCCTTTAGGGGAATGGTGATGATGTATTCTGAATATTGATCCTGAAACCTAGCAAGACCTTAATGAGTCTTCTGAATCATCAGAGTATAAATTCAGTTGGTTTTAGGGCTAAGTAAATTATATACACTCATAATCTCTTTCTATATGATATAAATATTTGTGGGTGATAGTGATGAAATGATGGTATAATCATGGTGAGCTCTGGCTCCCAAAATGAGTTCTGGTCCCTGGAGTATGACCACTGCCTATGTGATCATAGAAATGCCATTTAGCCTCTCATTTGTAAAATTATAAGATTTGAATGCATGACTTCTGTGGCTTATATGGATTTGTAACTTAATTGTCCAGTGAACAAAATAATCCATTTTCTATTTCTGATAACAAAGAATTTATTCATTTGCCCTTCCATCCATCCATCTATCCATTCATTTTCCTTCCACCCACCCATCCATCCATCCATCCATCCACCCATCCATGTATTCAAAGATAAGAGAAGGCATTATGGAGTAGACTTGACCTCCCTTTATTTCATTTATAGCAAGCAGACCTTGATGCTTCTAGGAAAGGTGGGAAAAGGAAACATTTCTACATAATTTCACTTAGTAAAGGAGCATTGGGCTGTGTTATATGACTCTCAGGACTAAAATAAAATGTCAAAACCGAAACATGAGATGGTGAAGTGTCATCTACAGGACCATGCCTCCTCAACTTGAAATTGGTGAAATGGCCAACATGGTTTAGAGAAAAAAAAAAAGTTTATTTGATGTCCTCAGTTAGTAAATAAGGGCTTATTCAAAGGTAGACTCTGTTGCATATGAGTGAAAATTTAAAGTATGCTTTTAAGAGGAGGTTTCCTGGCTTGTTCTTGGGCCCAGTGGAGAAATGTTTCATAAACTCACGTAAATCCATTTGTCATAATATTACATGGAATGCAGCTTCATTGAGTTTCCACAAATCTGGGTTTCCTGGATTTCTTTATTCTTTGCTGATGCCTTTTTGACCAAGCAGCAATAAAGGAAACACACACACCGTCCCACCCTGAGGCTGGTGTGGCCAAAGGCCCTTCACAGAGGGCCCGCTGTTCTTCAGCGGGGAATGGTTTTTTCACAGGCCACATTTCTGCGGGTTTGGCCTTTTGACTGTTCCCATTGTTATTTCTTTCCTTCTGTGCCTCTCCAATTTTTATGCTTAAGTTAACATTTGGACTTCTCCCCCACTGTCCTCCCTCCTTTATTGCAAATAATTATCCGTGGTATTTTGGCTCTGGTGGCCTGCTCTGTCCTTCTCATTTAGAATAGAGGATCATCAGCAGTTGAAAACCCCTGGGAAAAATGCCCAAGTATTTTTTAATTAGAAGAGGTAAGAAATGATAACAGCCTGAACCTCATAACCCCCATGTATTGGGTTGGCCAAAAAATTCGTTTTAGTTTTTCAATCACATCGTACAGAAACACCTGAACGAGTTCTTTGACCAACCCAATAGCATCGAGCGCGGTAAGTCACATCTAACATTTTGGAGCCAGCTTCTCTGGTTTGCGTTTCCCGTCTTCTCTTGCCTTTTCCCTTCCACCCCTGTCCTTCCCCCGTGATTGACTGTCATGGAACTGGAGCTAGCCTGGACAGGGAAGTCTTCTCTAGAGTGTGACCGTGAAACTGAGAAGTGAACCATGGAGGAGACACCCGGGAATCACAGATCAAGGGCGAGTTTTCCAGACAGAGGGAGGAGCATGTGAAGCACCTTACTCTGAAGCGCGTTCAGCAAGGAGAGGGGCAGAAGAAAGCCGGTAGCTGGGGGGAAGGAATGGGAAGGAGACTCACGGAGGGAGGCAGGGGCCACGGTGGACAGTGGGGTTTTGTTCTAATTACGGGAGAAATCATCTGGAGTATGAGAAAAGGGTGCTGGGGAGTGTGAGTCACTCTCTGATTCATGGTGTGAGAGGATCCGTCTGGCTGCTCCAGAGAGAACCGCCGCATACAGCCCGCGGTTCCCAGCCTTGTTGGCACCAGGGACCAGTTTCGTGGAAGACAGTTTTTCCATGATGGGAAGGGGATGGTTTGGGGATGATTCAAGTGCATTACATATATTGGGCACTTTATTTCCGGTATGACATCAGCTCCACATCAGATCATCGGGCATTAGATCTGGAGGTTGGGGACCCCTGAGCTACAGGGAAGTAAGAGCTTCTCCCAGGGGGCCCAGGAAGTAGTCTTTTGTGGCAGCTCATTGTAAGAGAAGATGGTGACTTAGATCAGCGTGGACGCAGTGAGAATGGTGAGGAGTGGTCAGCTTTAGAAGACTGGGCTGTGTTTTGGAGGTCTCACTGCCAGGACTTTGCCACATGTGCATGAGGAGAGCAGACAAGTCCGGGGTGAATCCTAGGATTTTGACCCAAACATCCGAGAGCGAATGCCACTGATGGTGATGGAGAAGCCAAGAGTTGGAACAGGAGTGAGAAGGAGAATTAAGAATTCTGTTTGAATAATTTTTTGTTAGATATGATTATGAGGTCTTCAAATGCACTGTTAGATGGGTGGTTGGATAGGATGTCTGGAGCCGCATGGAAAGGTTAGGACTAGAGACATAAACTTGGGAATGAGTCTGTCTATGACATCATGAAAGGAAAAAAAGTAGATTAAGGCCTTTTTGCAGTTTTTCACAAACACTATACTTCCTCTGCTGCACAGCTATTCTGTCTTCCTTGAATGTTCTGTCTTCACCTCTTTGCTCAGAAAAACCCCCTTCAAATCTCAGCCTAATAACCACTTCATCTGCAAAGCCTTCCCGGACAGTTCACCTGGGTTAAACTCCTCTACCAATGAATGTCTCCATGTCTGTCTTTTCTGGCGCATAAACGACACACGCACAGCTAGTGCTTTACGGCGGCTTCTTCTCGAGAATCACAACAGCTCTACTGTCTCTCAACTTGTGATATGTGTCCTGTCTAACATACCCTAGAGAGAATTCGGCCAGAGCAAGGAGTTTTGTTCACGAAGAACTGATTTTGTCTTTGCACAGGCATCTGGAATTATTTCCAAAGGGTTCTGGTGAAGAAATATGCTTCAGAAAGAAATGGAGTTAATGTGATAAGTGGACCAATTTTTGACTATGACTACGATGGCCTACATGACTCACAAGACAAAATCAAACAGTAAGCTTTTAAATTCCAAGGTCTCACTCAGGAGTATTTTTCAGATATTCATGTACTAGAGAAGAGCTGATACCTCTTAACCCTGTTCTTTGAATCTCTTAGTGAATTCTTCAGTTCTTTTGGATCTTTTATTAAACATGGCATTGGCAGTTGAAAGAAACAGGAATTTGTGGTAAATTAATGCACTTTCAGCTCCATAAAAGAATATGTATCAAAAGATTAAATCTTTTTCATTTATTCTTTAATAACTCTTCTGGGAATATGATAATTTTCCCTTGTTTCCCTTATTTTGGTGGGAGGGGAACTTTTAAAATTCCTTAGGTTTTCTGAGTCAGCACATCTCAATAGGAAATTGCACATAAACTTTGATCAAACCTTGTTTTTGTCCCTCTCTCTGGTGCTATTAGGGATATAAAAAAATTAGGCATACTCTATTCATGAGGAACTTAGAGTCTGATGGAGAAGGCAATAAGAGATAAATACAACAAATTCATAATCATCATTTAATTTTATACATGTATGAAACAGCATAACACAAAATATGAAAGGGTTTAATTGTGACTTATAGTTAGACAAAAATGTTAATTTTTTCATATAGATAAGTAATAAAATAGATCTTACTGCCTTTCCAGTCATCCATAAGCGAAATTTTATCTTACTCATTTAATAATGGTTATTGTTGTAGTTTTAAGCTCAAATTATATTATCAGCTTAATCGTAATTTCAGTATTTTGAAAATGATTAAAATGAAGACAAGAGAAAACTAAGTAAGGAATTATCACTTCCTATGCTATGGTCTACTGGAAAAGATTATTTACACTAGGCACTCAGTCCTTAGAATTTTCCTCAGTAAATGAGTTCTCTGTACCAAGTTCAGGACCTCACGGTGGCTTGAAAGGGCTATTCTTTTCCTCGCTCCTGTGTTTTCTGCCTCTGGCCCATTCGGTGCTAATCTGTGAGAGTTATTCTCCTGAAATGTGGATCCCACAGTGGTGCTCCCAAGCACGGAAGCTTTCAGTGGAGCATCACTGTCCAGACTCCACAGCTCTGGCGCCCAGAACCACCGCCCCTCCTACTGCGGCGCTCACTGGCTCTTCCCGACTGCCATTTCACCTCCGTTGACCTGCCATTGTGTCCAGTCTCCGAGTCTGGGTTCAGGCGGTTTTTCTTTGTCTCGAGTATCTTTTCTGCTCTACCAGGTTGAGAGAAAGATCTCGGGCACTGAAAACTTTATATTCAAAGACAGAGAAGGGGGTGAACGCTTGTAAGGGAGAAGGAGACTGCCCTGAGAGGAATCTCCTTGCAGGCGCTGGGGCAGCGTTCGCGGGCCGCACTTAACAAAGCGCTGTCCGTCAGCCCTAACTGGTCTTGCCTCCCCGTGCCAGGTACGTGGAGGGCAGCTCCGTCCCCGTGCCCACCCACTACTACAGCATCCTCACCAGCTGCCTGGACTTCACGCAGCCCGCCGACCGCTGCGACGGGCCGCTCTCCGTGTCCGCCTTCGCGCTGCCCCACAGGCCCGACAACGACGAGAGCTGCAACGTGAGTGCAGGCATGGCGGCGCCCGAGGCTTCCGCTTCCGCTGCCGCTTCCGCCCCGCGCTCCTTTATCTCACCCGTATACCGTGCTCCCTTTTCATTGCTTTAACAGCCTTTCTATTTTGTTATTATTTCTTTTTAAAATTTACTTGTTTATTTTTTTAGGTTCTGCTCAGGAAGTACATAGGTATTTATTATGATCAATATTATTATTATCCAAACCAGAACATTTCTGGAAGTGAAGGGAGCATACTATGAAATAGCAACTACAGACAGCAGGGATGAGCCATGCTTAAATGAGGGGCATATTTTCACCCTATTTGTAAGGCATAAGGGGAACTTGTTTAGTTTTAGTTGGAGGATCATTGCTTTACAATGTTGTGATGTTTCTTCCGTGCGTCAGTGTGAGCCGGCCCTAAGCACACAGGTGTCCCCTCCCACCTCACCCCTCCAGGTGGTCACAGAGCCCCGGCTTCGGGTGCCCTGCATCACACATCACACTCCCTCTGGCGATCTGTTCTACGTTTGGTAATGTACATGTTTCAGTGCTATTCTCTCAAATCATCCCACCTTCTCCTTCTGTTATTATTTTGTAATTGGAATATAGTTGCTTTACACTGTTCTGTTGGTTTCCACTACACAATGAAGTGAATCAGCTATATGTATACCTATTAAATAAAACAAGATAAATGACTGTGCATCAAATGTATAACATAACTGCACAGAGAAAAGAATTCAAATAAATTATGTATATGCACTCTGACCATAGGGCTTCCCACATGGTGCTCGTGGTAAAGAACCCCCCTGCCAATGCAGGAGACATAAGAGATGCAGAGTTGATCCCTGGGTTAGGAAGACCCCCTGGAGGAGGGTATGGCAACCCACTCCAGTATTCCTGCCTGGAGAATCCCATGGACCACAGAGCCTGGAGGGCTACAGTCCATAGGGTTGCAAAGAGTCAAATACAACTGAAACAATTTAGCACACAAGCACTCTGACCATACTCCCTTAATGGGATACAGTTCAGGAACAAATAAAGCAAGCAAAGAAAATTTGAACTTTACACAGTAGATGTGGTGTTGCTAGTGATGTTGATATTTTAATTTTGAAAATTAAAAAAATGTACTGTTATAAAAGCAGTGTCCTTTGGGATTTGCTGACAGAATTCATCTTTGTGTCTTAAATTATATCCCCACCCTTGAACTAGAACACACATAAAACATTTGGACTATACAAATGGGTATACACAAGTTGAGTCTTTGGAAAGGACCCAACAAAACTGCCTAACACTTGGGAACTCTGTGTCCTAATGGCTTTTTATTTTTCAATGTAAGGGTATTGTGCATTTAATATAGTTCTGTTTCAGTGTTCACTCTTGACAAATGATAAAAGTGCTCAAATGTCTTCAGTTTTGCACAAGACAAATATATTTTATAACAGTGAAAAGTAGCACAATGTTGGTAGTTACTGAATTGAGGGAAGAGCTCCCAGGAGCTCATTTTATCATTTGCTCTACTTTTGTGGATGTTTGAAAATTTCATTAATAAAAACTTTTTAAACTTTTTTTTATATTGGAGTATAGCCAGTCACTCTGGAGAAGGAAATGGCAGCCCACTCCAGTATTCTTGCCTGGAGAATCCCATGGACAGGGGATCCTGGTGGGTTACAGTGCATGGGGTCGCAGAGAGACACAACTTAGTGACTAAAACGACAACAGCAATAGCTAATTAAGAAATGTGAAAGTTTCAGGTGACGGGCAAAGGGATTCATTTGGGGATATATACATTCCGCTATTTTACCCCAAGTTTCCCCACCATCTGGCCTGCCGCGCAACACTGAGCAGGGCTCCCTCTGCTACACAGGAGGAATTTGCTGGTTATCCATGTTAAATACAGACACACACACAGGAATATATGCTCTACACGTCAGACTTTGATTCACTACTAGTTGTAAGGGCAGGTGTAACAGGTCACCCCATTCTTAAAGAGCACAGATGGCCCGATTCGCTTGTTCCAACATGAAAGCAGGGCGGCCGGATGCAGAAGGCCCAGGAAGGCAGACAGGAGCCCTGATGTGTGCTCCCGGCCCTGGTCCAATGCTGCACTTGGGGGCAAATCACGGGACCACGTCAGGTCTCTTTAATGTGATGGAAACCTCGTGCTTCAGGGTTGATTTTAGAATAGTCTCTATGCTTCTGTTTATAGAATAGAAGGATCAGAGAGAAAATCTCCGGGAGAAAATTTTTAGTCAACAAGCAGTGCTTAAATTCCTTAATTATTTATGTAAGGTACCCTGGGAGAAATGATGCTGTGTTTAACATAGTCACTCCTCCAGGCAGCCTTCCAGGTGAGAGCAAATGAAACAAGCACAGAAATTGCTTTTCACTAAAAGGCAAAGAGCCTTAAGAATAGCTTCAAGACAGATTTTCAGCTTCATGGACAAGGCAGTTTTGAGGCTAGGTCTTCAATTACAGGTGAAGATTGAGGCTATGACCATCTGAAACAAAAAACAATGGATGCCGGAAAAAATAGAAATTTTAAATATGGCTAAAAAGAAGTTATAAGTTTGCTCAGAATATTGGAAATGAAGATCATTGTGGGAGATAAGGTTTTAAAGGTTGCATAGAATCAAATTTGAAATAAAAGTCATCAGGCCTTCCCTGGTGGTCTAATGGTTAAAACTCTGTGTTTCCAAAGCAGGTGGCCTGGTTTTCATCCCTGGTTGGGGAACTAAGATCCCACATTTCATGAGGCCAATAATAATAATAATTAAAATAAAAGTAGCCATAGCAGCCAATAGTAGTAGCTGTTACCATTGATTGAGTCCATGTTAACCATCCAGTATTGTGCAGTCTTGTCTCTTATATTATTTCTCATCATCTTATTACCCTATTAGGCAGGTATGTATGACCCCCCTCCCCCTCCCCTTTTATTAACTTTTGAGGAACCTATAGCTCATAAAGGAAAAGTATGTAGCAAGTTATCTGGTTACCTTCTACCTAGTCGGTAGAAGAACAGAACTTTAGATTCAAGACTTCTGTTTTCAAAAGCCCATCCTCTTTTGAATCTACCAGATTTATATAGTGGAAGCTTGCATCCTTAGCACTTATTTGCATTGACATTAGTGAAGTGAAAGTCACTCAATCATGTCCGACTCTTTGCGACCCATGGACTGTATAGTCCATGGGATTCTCCAGGCCAGAATTCGGAGTGGGTAGCCTTTCCCTTCTCCAGGGGATCTTCCCAACCCAGGTCTTCTGCACTGCAGACTGATTCTTTACCAGCTGAGCCACAAAGATGACCACAAAAAATGCTTAGACATAAGAGCAATATTTTGGCCTCTGTTTTGGGAGATAAATTAGAATTGGAGAAGATTAAGCATGGTCCTTAAAGGGCTTTGGCGGGATTCCCAGGATTGAGGTAACAGAACTTGAACTGGGGTGTGGTCTTGGGAATTTCTAAAGGAAGGTGGAAGGCAGCAATATTGTATTGCAGGGATCAATAAGATCTTAGAAATAACTGGATGGGAGGTGGAGAAGCAAGGGTGCGTCAAGTGAGAGAGGAGCTATCCTCAACTGATTGGCTTGACCTTCTCAATTCTGATCGTCTACACCCACAGGAGTAGCTAATGGTGTACCAGGGTGGGGTGGCGGTGTAATACCTCTGGATCTGAACTTTAGTTTTACTGAAATTTTGTTGTGGGGAGGTAACATTTTTGCAAAAAAGTAAACACATATTTTATGGGGTGAAATTCAAAATTGCCATACGTGTTTAAGACAAGGCAGAGACTACAAAGATATTTTGGACTTAAGCCATGTAAGAGACACCTAAGTTCTTGGGGGAAAGGTGGTCACATTTTCTTGTCATTTGGGGAATCTGGTGATGCGGGGGAGCTTGAAAACATTGTTCTGAACTCAGCTCAAAGGCAGTTTTTATTCATCCTAGTGTTCTGTCTGACGATGTCCACTGATGTCCTCACGTCTTCCTCTCTGCCCAGAGCTTAGCAGTATTTCTTGTAGTGCTCATGGTCAGCATGCTTCTTCCTGAAGAACCCCCTGCCACATAGACACTGTCTGTGCTTTATTTTTTTAAATTGGAGTATAATGCTGTTAGTTTCTGTTGTACAATGAAATTAACCAACTGTACATATTATATACTCTCCCTCTTGGACCATACCTCCCGTCCATCCAACCCTTTCAGGTCATCCCAGAGCACCGAGCTGTGCTCCCTGGGCTTTATAGCAGGTCCCCATTAGCTACCTACTTTACACATGGTAGTGTATATATGTCAATCCCAACCTGCCAGTTCGTCCCACCCTCCCCTGTGTGCCCCCAGCCGGGTCCACATATCCCTTCTCTACATCTGCATCTCTATTCTTGCCCTGGAAATAGGTTCATCTGTACCATTTTTCTAGATCCCACATATATGAATTAATAGACAGTATTTGTTTTTCTCTTTCTGACTTCACTCTGTATGACATTCTAGGTCCATCCACATCTCTACAAATAACCCAATGTCATTCTTTTTTATGACTGAGTTATATCCCATTGTATATACATACCACATCTTTTTTTTCCATTCCTCTGTTAATGGACACTTAGGTTGTTCCCATGAGCTGGGTTTGGTAAATAGTGCTGCAATGAGCATTGGGTACACGTGTCATTTTGAATTACATCCTTACTTTAAGATCCACCTTAAAACTGCTGGGACTTGAATTCACAAGCTCATTTGGGAGGAAGGCAGGTGAAGGATAAATGTCCATAGCAAAAACAAAAAACAAAACAAAACAAACACTAAGCCAGTCCCTGGACTGTGCTTTCATTTGCATTAATGTGTAAAGTTATTTATTTTTAAAGTTTTTCTTTTTCTCTCTTGGGTCACTTGAACTTTTATTTGACTTTTATTAGTTTTGCGTTTCATACTAGAGTCTCCTGCAGCAAATACTTCAGTGGGTTGCCAGCTAGCAAGAGGCAGAAGTCATTTTCTTCCTTGTAGCGTAGCCCAGTATTTTGCCTAATTGGAGGCTGGATTTTAGCCTGTGAGAACCAGAGGAGAATGCCTCTCAGATGAAATTGGCAAATCACTTCCCTAGGAAAGAAATAGCAAAAGACAGATTTTCTTCCCCAAATTCTTATAATCCCAGCTGGCCATTATTTAAATTAGGAAAAACCTTTTCACCCCTTGTCCACACATTCAAAAGACTGCATTTACAAAGGAAACATTACACTTACTGACCATTGAAAAATCAAATGAATGAGTCGAATATGAAAATTCTCCCAAAATATCTCTTCGTGCTTACTCTGCTTACTCTGAGGGGGTCCCGACCCATTTGGAGACCTCCTACTTCGTTAATTATATATGGTCACACTGAGGACTGGTCAGTACCGTTGTGGGCAGAGTTATATTTAGGCCTGTCCTTTCCTATGAATCGAAAAGATCTTGGTCAGCCTGGGTGAGGAGGGTGGGGCGTGGAGGGTTAAAATCCTTATTTCCCCCAGCCTCCAAAGCAATTTCTTCCTGTTTCTTCCTTCTGCCGGTGATGGCCAGGCATCAGTTTCCTGAACCAACACCCTTCTGGACGTATTTAGCACTGGCACGAGCTGCCAGAGCTCCCCGTCCAGGCCCATGTGGGTTGGAGCTTTCCGAGACAACTCAGTGCAGGTTCTTGGGCTTTGGTGTAGCTCACAGAGACCGCTTGCGGTGGAAGACTCCAGCGAAGGCATGCCTGAGCTGTCTCAGTCCTGGGACATGCAGCTGCCCTTCAACTTGTAGAAAGACTCTTGGCAGCCGTGGCAATTTGGGAATGAGATTATTTGCAAAGACCCTCTTGCCCCGTCTTTTCTCTAAAGGTAGACATTTCCCCACATTTTCAAGGTTCTCAGATCTCATTCTTCCTCTCAACTTCCCTCAAAAGTAAAAAATATTTTTTAAAGGATTTTAAAAATAATGCTTTGTTGGCATTATTTCTCTTTCTTCTTTTTTTGCTAATTAATTATTGATTAATTTGGCTGCACCGGGTCTCAGTTGTGGCATGTGGGATCCGGTTCCCTGACCAGGGATCGAACCTGAGTCCCCTGCTCTGGGAGCACAGCGTCTTGGCCACTGGACCACCAGGGACGTCCTGGCACTACTTTTTTTCATTTCTCCCTAGATGCGAAGTAAATTAGTGTGAGACATTTAAATGTCTTTCACCTCGAGTTTGGGCCAATGAGGCGACCCTTGGGAAGCGGTGAAGACAGACAGAGATTTCCTTTCTTCCCATCCTGGGAACACCCGCCATGGCTTTTTCACTCCCTCGGCCTGCCTCCTCCCTGTCCTTCCGCCTGCCCCGGAGCCGCAGTAAGCGCTCTCCGTCCTGTGTGCCAGTGAAGGGCCAGAGCGCTTGAGCGAGGTCTCCCAGGCAGGCAGCGGAGGAACTGCATTCCCAACCCTGGCCTTGGGCCCCAAAGTGCCGGGTGTACCCACTGGGCGGCTCAGTCGATACAAGTCGAGTCAAACTCACTCCAGTGTCAGTCCGTTGCAGTCTAATAGCTGACGTCATCGCTCTAGCGTGCTCTTCAGAAGCTCCAGGGGCGCACACATGTCGTGTGCGCTCCCTGCGCACAAGCTCTGCACCCCCCGGGGGAGGCCGAGGCGCTGCCGTCCTCCTGCGCTCTGCTCCTCGCTGCAATTCAACCTCGGGGCAGAGAGACAAATGACTGATCGCTCCGGGGCCTCGCGCTCTCCCCATCTTGATTTCTGTTCTGAGGACCCACTGAGTCAAATGCCCTCTTGCACCACACCTCGCTTTTATTCGGTCCAGCTAATCGCCGCTGAAAATGTTTCCAGCCGAGGCCCGGTATTCGCGGTGCAGTGTGGGCGGGGATGTGGGAGCCGTGGGAACCCAAGGGGGAAGAAAGCACCTTGGCTTTGGGTGCAGGAGTTCGCAGAGGTCATGTGTGGACTTGGACCAAACGGAGTGTTTGGAGAAACGCCTTTGGAGAATTCTGACTCTGATTGTCTTTCCTTTCCGTGGCAGAGCTCAGAGGATGAGTCGAAATGGGTGGAAGAGCTTCTCAAGATGCACACAGCGCGGGTGCGAGACATCGAGCATCTCACCAGCCTGGACTTCTTCCGCAAGACCAGCCGCAGCTACCCGGAAATTCTGACCCTAAAGACGTACCTGCAGACGTATGAGAGCGAGATCTAGCCTTCCGGTCCTCTGCGCTGCAGGCTTATCAACTGGTGTATATTTTTATATTGTTTTTGTATTTATTAATTTGAAACCAGGACATTAAAAAAAAATGCTAGTATTTTAATCCTGTACCAAATCTGACATCTTAACGCCTGACTGACTCCACTGTTTTCCTCTAATGCTTGATTTAGGTAGTCCTGCGTTTTGAGTAGAGCTTGTAATAATTACCGCAGCTTGCATTTTTAGTGGAAGCTTCTAAATGGTGCTGCATATTCCATATTTGCATTGAGGAAATCTCAGTCTTCCAATGCACAGTTGCCACATTTAGTCCCGTACTGTGTTAAAATACTGATTTTGTAAAGTTGCATTCATTTATTATTGTTAATTATGACAGACATTTAAACCTTATAGACCAATATAGACCAATCGTAAATATAATAAATCACACATTCAGTTTTTTTTTCTGGTTTTATTTGGTCTTTGTTTCATATAAATTAGAGGGTTTGCTTCTAGTGTATTTCATGCATGAAAAGAATACATATCTTGTATTGGGCCCTCTTCCCAGTTGGATATAGTTTACATAGACAAAGGGGTGTCCTTAATGGTCCACCATGGTGGCTTGAATGAGGTAGAGGATGTATTGATAACATATCTGTGGGAGATCAGAAGGACAGAGGGTGAAGGGAACCAGAACCCCTGAATATCCTGTCTCACCTATCTATTTTTAAAAATATTTTGAACGTTGGAGGAACAGGTTCTTTTGATCAAGTTGTTTCAAAGCTTTTATTGGACTTAGCTGAAAGTGTACTAAGCATATATTCTGTATAAGTATCAACCTAAGAACCAGGAACGATATAAAGAGAAATAAGACACTGAGATGATATATAGGCATGAAAGTGTATTTAACTAATCAAGGTAGAGAATAATGAATGCTAGAATAACGCAATATGACGGAAGGGTTTGAATGATGGGGTGATTTTTGATGGACCCAATTGTGGCCATAAATAATAATGAAGCACAAAGTGAGGAAGTCATTCAGAGATTTTCTGTCCTTCTGATTGTGTTATGGATAAAGGGCCATCTCAGTACTGCCATATTTCTAACAGTTAATAATCTTCTCTAAAAAAGAAAACAAAAAACAAAGAATAGCATGTTAAATTCTCCTTTAAAAATAAATTTGCTTAAGGGAACTTCCCTTGTGGCTAAGCTTCTGTGCTCCCAATGCAGAGGGCCTGCATTCAATCCTGGTCGGGGCACTAGATCCTACATGCCCAAACTAAAAGATTAGATACCACACGCCCCAACGAAGGTCACAGATCCTGCATGCCAGCTAAGACCTGGGGCAGCCAAAGAAATAAATATTAAAAACATTTTTTTTCTTAAGACATTGTGTTAAAAAGTACATAACAAAAGCAGGACAGATGGTATATGGACAGTGGGGATATGGGAAAAATCATGAAAGTGGTATGAGAAAAACTGATGTTTGGGAAACACAGCTACAGGAATACACTGGAAGAAGTGCTGTGGTAATACTGATGACAGCTGTATTTATCCAGCAACTGCTATGTTCCATGCACATCTCTGGCCCTTCATACGCTCAGGGAAAATTTTATGGAAAAGGGAAGAGGTGAAGGTGGGGATGGGCAAGGCTGGAATTGGGCTTTGGAGTTTGGGGTAAACAGGGTGGGAGCGAAGCCGTAGGTAACCATTAGTCAAATCCATTTCACCTGCCTTGACAAATCAAGGTCATCTACAAAAACACTTGCATGTCCTCCAAGTGGCATGTAGCCTAAACAATAAGATGTTTGCGCAGACTGTTTCCCAGGAACTTGGAGTCAGCTGTGTCTAATTTGAGCTGAGCTGGTTAAGACTGGATAGGACTCCCAACCCTCCAACTGGGCATGCATGCGCGAACACCCACTCTCAGCGACCTTCTGACCTCACAGAGCCGGAAGTTCCCCGTGCAGGTCGTGCTGTGTGCCTCCGGGTTTTGAATGTGCAGAGGCCTGTCGCTTAGTCACACCTGCACAGAGGACAATGACTGCTGTACCTTCTCCCATCACCTCTCCCGTGATCTTCCCGCTCCCCAAGCCCCAGACCACCCTGCCTCTTCAGTTTTTTATCCCATAAACACCCCAAGCTCCTTGTCTTCTGGGAGATGGATCTGACCTGACGCGTCTCTTCACTTGGTTGCCTTTCAAATAAATAATCTCTCTGCTGTAAAAGTCGGTGCCTCAGCGTTCTAACCTGCCGCCCATCAGGCAAAACAAATCTGGTTTTGATAACAGAAGTGTGGTAGAAATTAATTGGGATATCACTCACTATTTAGTATCATGTCTTGATTAATTCATCATCTACTACATGCCAGTACCTATACTTGCTGTTGAGGATGAAACTAAATAAGATAAACATGGTTCCTTCACAGAATTTGTACTTTAGTGGAAAACAAGAGCCATTCAAAAACCGCAGGGCTTCGTTGTGATATGCACAGTGAGAGAATTAAACAGGTGCTGAGGGGCAAGGGAGTGGAAAAAGAAGCGGCTTTGATGACAATACAGCCAACATGTGAGGATGAGAAAAGCTGCCTCAAGAACAGAAATAAGGAAGAGCCTGCCCAGGGACTGGGGAATTCGCGACCCGGAAGTACACACCTCGGCACAGTGCTCTTGCCTGAGAGGTCTCGCAACAGGAAAGGCTGATAAGGGATACGGTCCTGCCCCAAGAAGTCAGCCTACAGACTTTGGGAGAGGCCCAAACAGGAAGAAGTCGATCAGCCTTCCGAGTCCTTCTCCCTGGAATCCATGAGAAGGATGAACAATGTGCCTGCCACCAGGAAGGATGCTGAGTCAGAATGACTGGCCAAAGACAACCAGAAACTACCCCCAGTCCCGTAAAACCCTTGCCTACAAGACAGAGGGCAGAGCAGTTCTCCTGGTCCTATCACCCTGCTGTTCTCCACCCGGGTGCCCCTTCCCAATAAATCTTTTGCTTGGTCAGCACGTGTGTCTCCTTGGAAAATTCATTTCTGAGTGTTAGACAGGAGTCCATTGTCAGGCCCGGGAGTGGGGGAGGGGCCCCCTTCCTGCAACACGAGGACTAGAGGTGAGAAAGACTTTGGCATGTGTGAGGGTCTGAAGAAAATAGGTGTGCCCAGACACAGAGGCAGGGTTGTTAGGGAACAGGTCAGCAGATCCTTGTGGGCACCACTGAGGCATCTAAGTGCAATGGAAAATAATTGAGAAGTCACTGGCCGACGTATGACAGGGTTCCATTTAAGATTTCAGTGTATTGGCCTGGATATGCCATAATTATATAGCCTCCTCTCAGTCTCATTCCACAACTAGAGAGTCCACCCAGTTAGGTGAAATCCATCAGTCAGTTCAATTGCTCAGTTGTGTCCGACTCTTTGCAACCCCATGAACCGCAGCACACCAGGCCTCCCTGTCCATCACCAACTCCCGGAGTCCACCCAAACCCATGTCCATCGAGTTGGTGATGCCATCCAACCACCTCATCCTCTATCAGCTCCTTCTCCTCCTGCCCTCAATCTTTCCCAGCATCAGGGTCTTTTCCAATGAGTTAGCTCTTTGCATCAGGTGACTGAAGTATTGGAGTTTCAGCTTCAACATCAGTCCTTCCAGTGAATATTCAGGACTGATCTCCTTTAGGATGGACTGGTTGGAGAGTCTGAAATGCAGTACTTGGATGTAGTCTCAAAAATGACAAAATGATCTCTGTTCATTTCCAAGGCAAACCATTCAATATCACGGAAATCCAAGTCTATGCCCCGACCAGTACACTGAAGAACCTGAAGTTTCTATGGTTCTATGAAGACCCACAAGACCTTCTAGAACTAACACCCAAAAAAGATGTCCTTTTCATTATAGGGGACTGGAATGCAAAAGTAGGAAGTCAAGAAACACCTGGAGTAACAGGCAAATTTGGCCTTGGAGTACGGAATGAAGCAGGGCAAAGGCTAATAGAGTTCTACCAAAAGAACGCACTGATCATAGCAAACACCCTCTTCCAACAACACAAGAGAAGACTCTACACATGGACATCACCAGATGGTCAACACAGAAATCAGATTGATTATATTCTTTGCAGCCAAAGATGGAGAAGCTCTATACAGTCAGCAAAAACAAGACTGGGAGCTGACTGTGGCTCAGATCATGAACTCCTTATTGCCAAATTCAGACTCAGGTGCAATGATTCTGCACTAACACTCCTAACAGCAGCATTGCAGGGTAGAAGGGTCATTCCATTTTTAAGCACTATTTGCTAGCTCCTTGCATAGCTAGGCTTGCACTTCACCTCAGATTGAACTCTTCTCAAAATAGACTATACCTGAGGCTTTGGGGGTGAGCAGTTAGCAAATTTAGTTGAGTACTGCTCCTCTATTTTTAATCCTTAGGTCAAATCTTTCTTTCTCATAAATAAACTGCGTACCAACCACTGTGTATTTCAGGTGAGCGGTTTTGCCGATAAACACATGTCATTAATTGGGGGGTTATTTATGAAAGTATCTGAATGGACAGGGACTCTATTAAAATGAGGTCTGGAAGATTATTTTAAGTTGGGGGTATTTTTTAAATTTTTTTTATTTTGAGACCTTGGTCCATTCATGCTTTCATTGAGCTAGTTGCCAACTGCTTGCTAGCATGGTGGTCTTGTTTTAGCAGATAGGTTCAGAAACTGCCTCTCTAAAAGGAGCTCACTGTAAACAGAGTAAACCAGGAAAGCGGCCACATAGTTTCTCAAGGGTAAAAACATTTTGAATTGTTTTGAAGAGAGTTGACTTAAAAAAAAAAAAATCTCTGCACAAAAGCAGGTTTTGGTGTCCACTGGGTTTGCCCAGATTCAGGGCCGTTCTGTCTTGTTTTGGGAAGGGCTGCTGCAGACTGAGGATGTTCCTCCCTCCAGCTGTCTCTCTCTAGCTCTTTGCTGAGTCAGGCCGGGCTGCCTTGTGGGTGGGAAGTGGTAAAGGCGACAGGAATTCTCCCATGAGGGGAGGG